GCCGGCCGCTCCCGACGCGGAGCCCGTGGGGGAGGAGTGCAGCTGGGCTGGGCTCTTCTCCTTCCAAGACTTGCGGGCTGTGCACCAGCAGCTGTGCTCGGTGAACTCGGAGCTGGAGCCCTACCTGCCTGCCTTCCCCGAGGAGCCTTCGGGCATGTGGACGGTGCTGTTCGGAGCCCCAGAGCTATCCGAGCAGGAGATGGACGCTCTCTGCTACAAACTGCAAGTTTACTTGGTCCACTGCTTGGATACCTGCGGCTGGAAGATCCTTTCCCAGGTGCTTTTCACTGAGACTGACGACCCCGAAGAGTATTATGAGAGCCTGAGTGAGCTGCGACAGAAGGGGTACGAGGAGGTGCTGCAGCGGGCCCGCAGACGAATCCAGGAGGTGAGGCTACTGCATGGTCCAGATATCTTCACCTTAGTGTTACGTTTTTCCTTACTCTGTGACATTTTCTTTAGTTGTTCTCTCCAGCTGCTCCCCTCTACCTTTGCGGAAGTGATCGAACCATGGGACAAAAAAAAGTACAGGAAAACTGTCCAGGTTAAAAAAAAAAAAAAAAAAAGCTGTGAAAATCTAAGTTAAAAAAACGAGGCTTAACCCTTCCTAGATCTCTAGGGCCAGGATTTAAGAAGGTGCAGATTTCCCTAGTCATCTAAGCATGCCTCAGTACTTTTTCCTGTGCAATCAAATGTCTATGTTTGTGAACAAGGATGTGATAGTTTTGGCAAAGTCTCGCTCCCAGATTTTTGTTCTTGCATTGCTTTGCACCAGGATGTGTTGGAGGCTGAATTTTTCTGTTTAATGGGAGCAGCAACATGTGGTGTTTATTTTGACAGTACAATTTAGGCACTTCAGGCCAAAAAATGTTGGGTTCCTACAGGCTCTGGGTGCTGAATCTGGTATTTCAAGCGAGATGATGTTTTCCAGTGGAATTGGAGTAACTACAACTTTTGTTCAGCTGTTAAGCCCTTAGAGTTGGGATTTTAAAAAGCAGGCTGTCCCGTCCTAGCGAGTATTTACTGTATTGTTGTTCCTAGTGTCTGACAAGACTTGGGTGTTTCAGGACACTCCATCTCTCTTTCTCATAACGTACTATTTAGACGAAAGTAGTTGAGGAGGTTCTTCTAACACTATCAGTGTGTGAGAATTTTTTCACATCTTTGTGGACTGAGGGATATGAGGATCCCGATTTTTCCAGGAGAAAAAGGAGAATTTTACATTTGTTTTTATGTTTTGGTGGCCTTGATCCAGAATGTACCAGGATCTGTCTAGGTGCGACTGTGTGAACGAATCAGGTTATGGAATTTTTTATTTTTGCAAATACTATCTAAATGCTGTTGTATGGATATAGGTCAAGTTTGGCTGCTTCAGCTGCCCACATATATCCTACCAATGTTGTGTGTTCGAAAATGTGTGGTGGTGAATATTTGTTCCTTGATGGAGTATGAGCATATCTGCTTGCTGTCTGTTTTGATGGAATAGTTTTGAGTCTTTGTAGGATTCGGGCCAAGCTTCTTCTAAGGGACTGGAGTTACAGAGTGTAAGCAAATCGTTCTATCAATGAAATCATGATAAGGGCATCCAAGTGTAGCACTGTCAGGTTCAAGTTTACTTCCAAACTGTTGTGTTAGGATATGTCATTCTGATTTTTCTTTTTTTTTCATGGCTATCTAAAGGGCTGAATTAATCCTTGTTAATTTTGGTGTACAGCCAGTAATTAGTCTAGTAGTCTTCTGCAGTAGTTTTAGTCCAGAATATATGAAAGCATATTGTCTTCCGCTTTTCTCTTTCTGACCGCATGAATGCTTGGGAGCATGTGCTTAGCTTCACTTAGCCTTCAGCTCAGCAGTTTTTATAAGGAGCTGAGCAGGACAAGAGAGTTCCTGTTAAACATGTAGAGTTTGGGAACTGGGTACCTAACTCAAAGCGTGTGGTGTTTTTTAGGAAACACTAATTTGGAATTACTGTGCAAGAACTATTTGTTTCTTGGGGAATCTCAACTTCTATTTTGTTAACACCAGTACTGTCGGCAAAAAATAAATCGGTTATCAATAGGCAATGCAAGCTTTATCCATCAAGATCTCTAAACTACAATATCTTATTCTCTGCAAATGTTCAGAACTTGGTGCAGACAAAATGGCAGAGCCTATTTGTGTATTTGACTACAGTACAACCTTCCTTTCCCATGGTAACCAATCCAGTAGTGTATCTGAAGTCAGTACAGCTGTACTTCGGTTACTGTCAGTTGTGTAAATTGATGCGTCTTTAATTAAAAGTAGTTCATGTTTAAGAAAAGAAACCAATAGAATGAGCTGCTTTTTCCCTTTTGGCTCTCAGGTTTCTCTTTTCCTTACCTGTTAGTGGTTTACTTGGTCCACAGGAAATGTCTTTCTTTTAAGCAAATACTGGTATTGTTTGTCATTGCAATTCTACGCAAATGAAGCAATGGATGATAGGTACTGCTCGGTATTTCTAAAGTAAAGGTTTTTCGTACTTTCAAGAGAACCTACTGAATCAATGTTTCATCTCTCACATCTCTTTACTTTTCCATCTATGCTTGAAGTCTGCCTGTTAGCTGAATCTGTTAGCTGATTGCAGGATGTTGGATTCCTGCAATGTTAAACGGTTTTACCTCTTACAAGAACTTTCGGGGAAAAGGGGAAGGGATTGAGCAGCATTGGCAACCAAAATGGTATCGAGGAGCATAATGAACATGGAGGGTCTTCATTAATGTAAAATTGTGCAAAAAACACGTTTAGAATGCTGAGACTTTGGCTTAACATTTTAAAATATGCCTCTGTGGTTTATAATTATTTCATATATCTCTTTTTTCCAGGACTAATTCCTCTGTGCAGTTAGACATTACTTGAGAAATGCTTGGAGTTGATTATATTCTTTGGGGTGGAGAAGCAAAGTGAGCAACAAAACCTCTCATGTTCATTGTTTCAGCATCCCCTACTTGGCCATCTGTTGCTTTCCATAAGTTACACACAAGCCAGTTTATTTTCACAGCAGTTAATAATTGTTGCTCTTTGTAATAGGCATTTTTATCTCTGTCTCAATTATAAACCTTTAATAAGCCAGAAAAATGTTGCAAGTAGAAACAGATCCAAGATGAGGAGGAAAAATAGCTGTAGAGGAACTGTATGACCTGGAATTAATTTCTTCTGCACAATTTGCAGTTTTGAAATAGCACATCCTTTATTTTTTCAAATAAAACTATTAATTCTGGAATAGCTTAGGAATTTAATTTATGTTAAAATAAACACTTGTATATAAAGGAGTAAACATTGTTCTACCTCATTTTTGAAAACGAATAAACACTTGTTTGGAGCCCTTGTTCCTTAAGCTTATGCCCGTTTAAAAAAATTCCTCAGGTGCTCGGCTAGAGGTCTGAGCTCCCAAATACAGACATGATACAGAATCAGTTAATGACCAGATAAAAAGATGTTGTTATTTCAGCAGAGAGGATGACACTGAATCCTTACTTGGGATTCTGGCTTCTTGGCCAGTATCTCCAAAATCTTAAACTTTGCATCTAGAAGGCAGAAAAAGTTCTCCTCTGTACTCTTGTTCCTCCCAGTTTCCTATCTGTGTTCCTCCCCATATAACATGGGAGGAGTTTTTCTAGGCTAAGTGTACATGCTTGTAAATTTTTGAGAGTATAGTAATATCAAAGATGGTGTCATACCTCTCTGTCAATGCTGTGTTGGCAAAAGGTTGAAGGAAGTCACAGTTTCGCTGAATAAAAAGTGACATTAGTATAAACTGTGATTAAAAGGATTTGGTGGCTTAGTCACACCAACAAACATGTTCCATTGTATGCTTATCCATTCACTTGCTCTTGCATAGTGAGTTGTGAGTTTGGGAAGCCTATCTTTACATTACATGCCTACTTCAGCATCTTTGAATTAATAGTACCTGTGAATCTCTCTGCTCCTTATAGCTGATAATTGCCATGGCAGTCTGAAATTTGGCAGATAATAGCCTATAGGATCTTGAATGCTAGTTATAAAACTAGTGAGAGACTTGCTTTCATTTTGCTGCTCTGTAAAATCTATGAATTCTAGTATCTGCAGGCAGACTGTTAAAAGACCATTTTGCATCTCTGTCCTGTGTGTGTTCTTTTGAATTGCTTTAACAGAAAAGTTCAGAAACACTTCTTAGTGATGACTAAATTCTGAAGAAATTCTGAGAGCATCTTATTTTCTGTGGCTAACCTAAGACTGCCTTGGGAGTGAGGACCTACTGATATTTTTAATCTCCTTCCCCTGTATCGTGGAATATTTTACTAAGCACCAGCATAGCCCTGGTAACTTTTATCTTATGTAGGTTGGCTTAATTTTCTTTTGATTCAAAAGGCTTGAAAGGTTAAGAAAAATTAACATAAAAACCTTTGATCTATTTTGTTACAGTAACAAGTTCTATGAGAAGAAAATGTAGGGTTTTTGATAGAAATCTGTATTGTCATTTTCTTTTCTTCTTAAATCAGTATGTATACAATTTTTTAAAATTACTTTAACAGTAATTTAACAGTAGGGAAGTATTTTTTGTTTTCAGTGACTGAAATATGATTGGCAAATCACACAAATCGATAAGTAATTGATTTGGTTATAAATCATGGAATTGCACATTTGTTGCTTTCAAAGGGTGCTGTCACATATTTCTGTTTACGTCAAAAAAGCTAAATAATGTCTATAGGTTATTCTTTTGTTTTGTTGAACCTGTTCTAATATTTCAGAGAAAATTAATATTTGGGATTATCTCAGTAACTAGGAGAATTTTATTTCCTTGCTTTTGACTATGTGCATTCGGTTCTAAAGTAAATGTGTATATGGTAGGTAGTGAGGCACCGTACCAAAAATGCAAGTTTCCCAGAGGTAAGGTGACCTGTTTTTATTCAATGATCTTCTGCTAGGCGCAGTGTGATTTAAAGAGAGATTTCAACGTCAAACTCGTAAATAATGCAAAAGTAAGTAATATTAAACACTACAAAAAAGTATTCAGTGTTTCAGTAATACAAAAAACAAATCCTAGCAGTAGTGTTTCCATCAAAACCAGTGTAATATCCTTCTATGCAAGAAGCAAAGAAAACTGGATCCTGTTTGTTAACTGCAATAGCTAGATTTAGAAGATACATAAGGTGTCTTAGGAGACAACACTGGTTCATATTTAACTTTGGGAGCAGTGAGTATTAAAATAAGATATACTGTGGATTTTTTTTTCCTATTGACATGAATAGAGCAAAGTTAAGACTAATACTGAGCATTCCGGAAATCCAACCTATTTTTGTTTGAAAGCTTCTTTTTACATACTCATTATTTGTGGTGTTAACATCCATTCCCAGTAAAACTGTTTTGCGTCTTCTGAATACTTTGTAAAGA